CCCCCACCCCGCCACTAACGACTTCTTATTCTGCAACTCAGAGCTCTGCCTCTAAGTCCACATCAGGAGGGCCTCCTATCTATGACTCTTTCCACGCTGTATCCCCACAGCACGCCCCCAAGCTGGATAGATCTGTCAGTCTCCCCTGGGTTCCTATCAGCTTCTCTCCTGGGTTCCTATCTCAGTGACAGCCCCAACATCCACCCAGTTCTCATATCAGAAACCTGACCTTTCCCTCAGACTCCTCTCTCTCCGCATTCAGTGTGCTGATTTGCCTCCTGACTATCTCTAGTATCTCTCCACCTCCACTGGCACTGTCCCAGCCCAGTCCTTCTGCATAGCTCTCCTTGCCTATTGACACAGTGTTCTTACTAATCACCCTGCCTACATCCCCTCCCCAGCAACCATCCCACACAGAGCAGCCTGAACAATCGTTTTTTGTTTTTTAAAAATATATCTTTATTGAGTTCAGAGAGAGGAAGGGAGAGGGAGAGAGGAAGGAACATCCATGATGAGAGGGTCATTGATTGTCCGCCTCCTGCACACCCCTCACAGGGGATTGAGCCCACAACCTGGGCATGTGCCCTGATGGGGAACTGAACTGTGATCTCCTGGATATTAGGTTGATGCTCAACCACTGAGCCACATTGGCCGGGCTGAATAATCTTTTTTAAAATACGTATTTCAAAATGTTAAACCCCTGATTAAAGTCCTTACTGGCCTGTGAAAATGTGCCAGCCTAGTACTGAAGCCCTAAAGAACCTGGTTTCCCACCACCTTTGTTTCCTCCATGCCTCCCTCTCTTACCACTTGCTCCATGCACCTGCCTTTCAAAAATAAATGAAGGTACTCCCATTGTTCCTAAGGCAGCTAGGCCCTTTCAGGCCCCAGCATCTTTCACCATGTTATTTTCTTTCCCTAAACTAGCTCTCTCATTACTTAACAAAACCCTATGCATTTTTCTGGGACCTTCAGGTATCATCTCTTTTGGGGATGAGTTCCCGGAGGGAGAGTCCACTCAGACCGTGTCCCTCTTCCATTTGCTTCTTGTTTAACACAGCTTGTCTCCTCTGCCAGATTAAGACTTCTTTGAAGACAGGATAAGACTCTTGATCACGTTTATTTCTGCATGGGCCTTACACACAATAAAGGTTTATTGAACAAACGAGTCCCCTGTATGTCCCCCCACCCCTACCGCCGCTCCCCACTCCTGGGCAGGAAACGCCCCCTGAGAGAGGGTAGGCTGATGGTGAGCAAGGACGTTTGGAGGAGCTGGGAGCGATGCTCAGTGAGCCGAGACTCTTTCTCCAGTTCAACTAGAAAGATGGACAGGGGATAGGTCCGAGTTCTGTCCGGGG